TTTCCTATAACATGTAGATTCCTCATCGTGGATTGTCTTTCAGCCTGACATCATCATCAGCGCAAGCCAAGGTAGGTCCGAGGGGACGACTGTCATGTTTGAAAAGAGGGCTTGTTGACTTTGGATGACAGTAGTAGCCAGGGACATTGTCAAGGCGAATCTCTGAGGAATGACCTCTCCCTTCAACCTGGGAGTGGGATTTTCACTTCATACTCTGTTCTCTACTATGTGTGCATTTTATCATGAACAGACACTATTTTTATAATTAAAACAACTAAGAATGGCCATTCCCCTGCTTTAAATCTTTTCATGTCTGCCTACTCTGAAAAGCCAGACCCCCCAGGTTGGTGTGCAGGGCCCTCCCTCTCATCTCCCGCCATCACGCCCACCTGTGCCTGGGCCCTCTGCTCCGTGTCCCTCGGGGTGCGCTTGTTTTTACCCTGCTGGGGAAGACTCCCTTGCGGTGTTAGGTTCTTCTTCCTTGATAATCCTGTAACACCTTGCACCTTTCTCTATTAGAGTACTTTCTACATTAGTCTTTAGTCACTGCAGTATTTTCCTGTCTTGCCCACTGGGATTCTTAAGGAGAGAATTAGCCCTAGTGCCCTAGGCAGCATCCACTGTATATAATGAATTCACTTCTCTTCTGTCTACCCAGAATGGTTTGACTTCTGTACCAATCATGGGAGAATTGAGAAAGGATCACTCAGATCATTCTTAACATAGTGTTTAATTCTCTCTTGGATCCCCAATTGAGAAAGGCTGTGCCTGCCCACCTGGCAGTGTGCATATTCAGGAAGTTTCTGGGTTGATGAGTGGGTGAATTATGAAAGTCCTCTGGATTTCCCTTTGACTAATGAGCCACTACAGGAGAAACAAGAGTACAGGATTGAAGTCAGTGCCACATGTTAAGGTCTTTTCCACCTTCAAGGTTAAAAGGGGGCTAGGTGTGGGGCCGGAGCTGCTCCGAGTTGATTAAAGAGCTTGTTGCCCCCATACTTAGGGAGATATACCATTGATGAGCCTCAGAATGTAGAGGGTTACTTTGTTGCAAGGAATCAACCAGGCTCGCAGTTTGACTGTCAGTCCTTCTGTTGTCAGGGGTGTCCTGAATGTCCTAGACTGTACTGTGGTTTGTAAGAAGCCATTGACTGCTTTGTAATACTTGGGCTTTTGTTCTGGTTTGTGTCATATGATTAAGTTTGTTGCCTCTCAAATCCAGGTTACCTCTGGAACCTCCAAGTGAAACTTCAGCCCATAGTAAACCTCTTGCCAGATAAAGGAAGACTGATGGACTTTCTCCTCCAGAGAAAGGAATGCAAGATGGTCATCCTGACTGTCTGTTCACAGAGTAAGTGGATAACTCCTTCCCTATTGGTGTGATTCTAGCCTGTGCTACCCAACACCTTTTACTGGGAGCTGGGCCACCATTTTATGCCTTGTCTCTGGCCCCTAGCCCCATTCTTCACTTGAAGGATGGGTTATTGAAGCCTTCGGAAAGGCTGCTAAACATAAAATGACTTGTAGGGACTTTGGTAGAAAAGACTAAATAGGATGGTTCCAGGTGAAAGCAAACCTGAAGCTGGGTGCACATGAGGGTCGGGGGTTCCCATCCCTCATTTAAAAAAAAACCATTTTTCAGAATCCCAGTCACTGACTCCATAATATCTGCCATAGCTTTTTCAAGTAAACAGAAAGGGCCTATGAGTTCTAGGCTTCAGGTCTCTAAACTAGACCATTTCTCTGGATGCCGTTTAAAGGAATGTTTGTACTGCTGACCTTTGAGATTAGTTTTGCTGTCGTAGCAGCATGTTCTGAAGTTGACAAGAGTTGGTTGACCTGTGCAAACATTGATTCTTCCCAGTGCTGAGTGAGTCAGACAGAGCAGCCCTGCCTGTGATAGCCACTGTATTTGACAAGCTCAATCATGAGTACAAAAGGTACCTGGACGCTGAGCAGAGCTATACAATGGTAAGTTACATGTACTATGTTGAAGGCTCTTCCGCCCCCACCTGTATAGTTCTGAGTAACCGTAATACAGATTCTAATAGAATATGGCTGCAGTGGGGGAGCCCTAAATTCAGAGTCCCTGCATCCCATTAGCTTGAGGCTGTATCTCAATGCCTTCACCTTTTTTTTTTTTTTTTAAAGTCTGTTTGATCTTACATGTAGATAGATCCTTGGTCTTACCTCTGCTTTATGGACAAAATTGGTCTCATCTTTGCATTATTTTTTTATACATGTTTCTGCCAAGTCAGAACCTAGTCTTAGTTAATTAGAAATAGTATCATTTGCCCTTTTTTTCTTTCCTTTTAGGGTGTAATGGCTATAAAAATAATTCTTGTTGTGCAATTTAGTCAGTATCCTGTAAGTGATGATTAAATGTTAGCACTCTGCTTTTCACGTGGTGGGCTCGGGGTTTGTGGTTAAGGGCTGGGGAAAACTTATTCACAGGTTGTGCGGTAATGTTAGTGCATCATCTTCTGAGGTTAGAAAGAACAAAGCTCAGGACAAGTGTAATGGATGATTTCACTTAAAGGATCTAATTAGTCCTAAAGCTGAAAATGGAAGTGGCTTTAAACAATAACAAAAAATCCAGAACTCCACTCACCCACCCTTAGCTACTCAAGGCTAACAGGACTGATGCAGGCTGCTGAAGATGGTCAAGTGACGTGGGTCCCTGTCCAGTGTCAGACATGGTTCAGGGAGGTGGGGAGGCTGAGCTCTTCTAGATCCTTCTCTTGGTTCTGCTGCTAGCGTACTGGGCCGTGGGCATCAGTAGTCTGATCCCAGATGGCAGTTTCTGTGCATCCCTGCTGTGTGGCTTCCTAAGCCCTGGCTAGTGAAGGGTGTGATCCATCTGCAACATGGAGCGCCTGGTGGCGCGTCTTAGAAATGGGTTCTCAGGCCACCGCCACTGCTCCTGCAGAGTCTGCATTGATCTCAACTGCTTTAGAAGTTAGGTGAAGTCAAGATCTTCTCGGAGCTTTCCTATTCAGTAATATTTGGGGAGCCTTACTTACCATTTAAAAACCTAGTACAGACTCATTACACAAGTGTTCACTTATTTTAAGATCAGAGCTTCATAAAACAGATGCAGCAAGCCATTTTGTTTTTATTAAATAACAAAGGCCAGGTAGTCTGTGATAGAGAAAACCAGGGAGTTGTTTTTAAGGGGTTAAAAACAGGGTGACGTCTAAGAGAAAACTGACATGCTTTGTAGTTCCATCCACCATGAACAGTGGTTATTTTCAAGATGACCAACTCTGACTTTCTATTTTTAGACTTTTCCCAGAGAGCACAGGAAAAATAGTTTTGTCCAAGCTGTGAAATAAGTGTTACCCCTGCTCAGATTTGAGGTTCACAGCATCTAGGAATTCAGTCTTTTTAGATGAACTGCAAACACGTCACCTAGATGACGATGATGATCACATTTGTAATTTATTGCTTAGGCGGTAGAAGCAGGGCCAAGCCGGAGCAGTCCACTTCTCAGAAGGCCGGTGCGCACCCAGGCCGTGATTGACCAGTCTGACATGTACACCCACGTCCTGTCGGTGTTCACAGAAAAGAAGGTAAGTGACGGCTCGTCAGCTGCTTCTGGACAAAGAATTCTTAAACAGATCATTTGAAGGGAACTGAGGAAAACTAGAACTCACAATGTGATTCGAATAACTGGATTATTTTGGGTGAGGACCTAGTGCTGGTAGTTTGGCTTCTAATACTCAGGCCTAAACATGATCATTGATGGGAGAGTTTCTGGAGGAGGGATTTGCGCAAAACCAGCTAAACAGCACTGGGCCAGTTTAATATGGGAAAAAAAGGAAGGGGGGATAAAAGAGGAATTGTGTGCAAGTTCCTCTGCAACTCTGTTGTTTCTAAGACCACCTTTGTTTCCTCCATAGGAGATGCCTCATAAATTTGTGATAGCCGTACTGATGGAGTACATTCGCTCTCTTAACCAGTTTCAGATTCCAGTACAGGTACCTTCCAACCAGCACTGTGGTCCCAAGTTAGAGGAGGAGGGAATATTTTTTTAAATAACAGCACTGTCAGTATCTTAACTAAGATGACTATCTTTATCTGCCACAAGGGCCTGCCTTCCCGACTCAGAGTTCTGAGCAATTCTTGACATCCCATGTTGTTGTTAGTTAGAATAAGTCATCCTATCAAGTTGGGGTCTTTCACCTGTACACTGATCCACTTCTCTTAATCATGGAAACGTATATGCATCAGTTAGAATAGCTGCCGTCCTTGACAAACCTAACTCCAGTCTTGCAGTTGAGCAGTTTGGAAACGTCTTTCCTTCTTTGTCCTCAGCATTACTTGCATGAACTTGTCATCAAGACACTTGTCCAGCACAACCTCTTTTATATGCTGCACCAGTTCTTGCAGTACCACGTCCTCAGTGACTCAAAGCCTTTGGTACGTGCCACCAGATTTGTACTTCTGTGATTAAAAACTTAGTTTAGCCTTCTGACATCTTACGCTGAGTAGTCCGAACATCTGTGTTTCAGGCTTGTCTGCTGTTATCCCTGGAAAGTTTTTACCCTCCTGCTCATCAGCTGTCTCTGGATATGTTGAAGGTAAGAGGCATCCAAGTTTCCAGTTGCACAAATTTCTATTCCTGTGACTCGCATTTACTTGGACTTTCCTCTCTCTAGCGGCTTTCGACAGCAAATGATGAAATAGTAGAAGTTCTTCTTTCCAAACACCAAGTGTTAGCTGCCTTGAGGTTTATCCGGGGCATAGGTGGCCACGACAACATTTCTGCACGAAAATTTTTAGACGCTGCAAAGCAGACTGAAGACAACATGCTTTTCTATACTATATTCCGGTTTTTTGAACAGCGAAACCAGCGTTTGCGAGGGAACCCTGATTTCACACCAGGTGAGAAGGTGGCAGCAGTGAAAAGACCTGGGGCAACCACAGACTCAGTAGCAAGAAGACACTGGCAGCTGGTGGGCGAAAGCCTTTCTGTTAGAACTGAGTTCAGTTTTTTAAAAAAGAGTCATGACAGCTGCCTAACTCTTAGCCCATTACTTGTAGTCCAAGTGAACTCAGTGTGCTAATGGGTCTGAATTAGGCTCGGAACTTGAAGCTTGGGGAAGAGAAACATCCTGAGGGCCAGAGTCAGGCGGTCTGAACATAGCTCATATGTCTGACAGCTGCTGTGGGAATATCCCTTTATGAGGAACTGAGAACAGGACAGGAACTGGTGGCTAAGGGTTTAAAATGGCCTGGGGCTTATTAATGTTTCAGGGTTAGGCAGGAAACATTGGCAAATCACTCTTAGGTCCAGAGTTCTGAAATCTAAGGATGGGGAAGGAACATATAACTTCATTCCAGGTCTACCGACTTTTTCTAGCTCAGTGTAGTGTCAGGTAATTAGTACCATGACAGGTTAGCTTCTCTCCTTGTGTCTAGGGGCAGGTGGGGGTTTGCCAGGGGTTGTGAAGGTCCCTGACCAGTTTTGCAATGGCATGAGCTGTGAAAATAGGACAATTCAAAAGCTTAGGAAAACAAAGCATTTTATGAAAGAAAATAAGTTAAAACCCAGTATACACATCTATGAGCTGCATGTCCGTTCTCTCATTTTCCTCTCTTTGTGCCCCTTTAGGAGAACACTGTGAAGAACATGTTGCTTTTTTCAAACAGGTTTTTGGAGACCAAGCTCTGAGGAGGCCTACAACATTCTGAGATCACTCGCTAGTTTTTTTATATATATAAAAATGTGTATAAAGTTAATTTATTGCATTAATAAAGCTCTTTAAACTACAAAATGTTATAATAAAGTGTATCTGCAACATCCTCAAATGTTACTAAAAATACCGTTTAGAATCTGTGGTGGCTCACTCCTAAAAAAAGGAGCAGCATTGCATTGATCAGCCTTCAAAAGTGTCAGTGAGCTGATCACATCCACAACCATCCTGTGTCAACCTGCCGCTTGCTGAAGAATCAATCAGCTTTCATTCCTGGAGAACTGGAAGATGCCGTGTCCTGGTGGCCTTCAGGTTTAGTAATACTGCTCTAGAAGGCAGATTTGCATTCCTGAGTTTACAAGCGCTATGGGCCACAGCAGTTGCTGTTAGATCACCTGACATCTGGAAACATCCAGTGTTCACCTTCGCCTGACAATGCAGCTACTGTCCATAAGTCAACTGACTGACCCGCAGACACAGTTCAAAGTCCCCAAACCCTGTAAAGGGTTAGAAATTTAGGAGCTGTTCTCTTTCTGTGCCTCTGTATCGCTCTTGAGTGGCCAAACTTTTGGCTTTATTTATTGATGGTCCTGTGAAGCATAAAAAGAATAACTTTTGTATCATTTCTTCAAGAGAAAGGGGGATAGTTTGTATAATAGTTACCCTTTCCATCCCCCAGACATTTAAAAAAACACACCAAAGCCCTCATTTTCTCAGTCTATTTCAATGCTTCAAGTTAGTTACAAAGCTATAAATCAAGCAAATTAGTACTGTTCTTTCAAACAGAAGTCAATATGGAAACCAAAAAGGGTCCTAAGGATAGCTTGAAACTGAGAGATGACAAGCAGAGGCAGTGTTTTGCTAGAACAGTGAACTGGGGACATGTGAACTGTTCTATGGCATTGTTGGGCTGCGACCCAGCTGTCCAGTCACTCAAGGTCATTCATCTCAGCAAGGACGGTGCCTGGGCCCGTGACATTCAAACTCATTCACGGTTGGACTTCAGGGCCTTGTTTAGTAGCCAACTCAGCCGTCCAGAAAAAGTGTTAGCAGTTTACTAATGAAACGGTTTGGATAATCATGAAGCCCCTGGGTAGAATTTTTTCTCAGAAATTTTTTTCACTCAGTATTATTAAATGAACAATTAGTACAAGTTCACATACTTCGAAAGAGTGCTTTCAAGATATAATTTTCCTTTAGTTACATGCTTCCTCCATCCCACTTATTTAAAAATTAGAATGCTTACCTATATAACTGAGTAAGACAGGAAGGAAGATCAGTCCATGAGCGGCTCCCAGTAAGACCATAGCTAAATACATCCTGAAGTAAAATATCTGAAAAATTTGAGATTTTGCAAAGGCCAACACCACAATCCCTCCAAATTTTGTAAGTGTGATTCCACTGAATACCTGAAAGAGATGGTATTAGAAACTGCTTTAATCAACCTATTGTAATTGAACGTTTCCTAATACAGGGGTCTCTTAACAGTCAAGGTCAAAGGGGGAATGAACCCCAGCTTTCAGAGATACTGCTAAGTAGAATTATGTTCTTAAAATTGTTTCGTTTGTTATGAGCCTGAAACAACAAAAACTGGTTTAAGGGTAGAAGCTATGTATTCTGCATAGACACTATTCTGTGTCTAAACTGAGATCATACATTTTTTTATATTCTCAGATGAAAACTATTTTAATTATAAAACTTATAAAACAAGGTTTTTGTTACTCTGTAACAGTATTTTCTTCAGTAGTAAAGTAACTGGTTGACTGGCTAAACCAGGATATGAAGTTGAACCAAGGAGACTGTGCAGACATCAACTACGAACTGCTCGCTGGGCTCTTGCTTTCTCAGCACATAGCTGGCCTTTGTTTTTTATTTTTTTATCCCCACCCGAGGATATTTTTCCATTGCTTTTCAGAGAGTGGAAGGGAGAGAGAAACATCAACGGGAGAGAGACACCGAATGGTTGCCTCCTGCACGCACCCCGACCTGGGGCCAGGGATCAAGCCTGCAACCAACGTATGTGCCCTTGGCAGGTATCGAACTTGGGACCCCTCAGTCCGGGCGGACGCTCTAACCACTGCGCAACCCGGCCAGGGCTGGCCTGTTTTAAATGCAAAAGGCTTCTGGCTTGCTCAACTCCACCTTCTCTGCTCTTCTGATTCGGCCACACTACCACCCACAAAAGGATTTACCAACAGGAACAGTTCTAAAGAATTTCAGGATACAGCTATTTCATGAATTGCCTAAAATCTTGCCATCCTTAGGAGCTGCGGCTAAGCAAAGGATACAAATTCTATTTTTCCTACTAAATTTTAAAGTTCCTTCCGAGAAACGCCCGCTTGCTGAGCTGGTCACGTTACACTGAAGTTTCTGCCCGTCACTCACCGAGCTGCCCATGTGGGAGAGCGCCTCTTCTGCTCGTTGCACGCGGCTTCCCTTCGCACTCACGGTGAACGCCCTTGTTATGTGGCTACAGAACTCCACGGAAATGCCGCAGCTCTGAAAGAAAGTGCTGCCTTTACGACTGGCTTTTTCTAGTTGAAACCATAAGCAGCCACCCCTTTCCCAGGGCACCCCATGGTGGGAGAGGTGCCCTAGGAATCCTCTTTGACATCCTGTAAAGCCCACATCACGCCAACTTACATGCAACAAGGAACTTGTGAAAGCCTCGGGGGGCAGTGCCCAGTGCTCCAGTTTATACAGCATACTGCCTTTCTCAGGGGAAGCTGGGGAACCCGTAAGGTCGCCCCCCCACCGGTACCCCCAGCACACTGCCATCACTTCCTGAGTGGAGCCTCACGGCCACTGCACCTGAAGCAGCTCGTATCTGAAGTACAGATGCACTGCCTCTACTTTCCGTTAATGCCTTCCTGAATGCTCACAGCTCCAAGACTAATTACTAAAAAGCATCTGGCAACTGCATGGGAAGCAAAAGGTATTGTTCAGAGAATTCCATCAGGGATGGGGCAATTTTTCTAAGTAAAAAGTGACCATCTTGCTATCATTAGGCCAAGTTTTTTTTGTAAACCCTACAGAATAATAAAGGCAGAATACCCAAGTTAGATCATGAAATCACATTTTCATTGTTATATGTAACATCCAGTCCCAACTCCATCCACCCCTCAGTCCCACCTCTCCAAGAGCTGGACTTACAGTCTTTTACCCCAAGAAACAACTCACATTAAGTGACACAGGAGTTAGAGGCAAACTGAGTGGACCAGGACTCACCATAACCAAGTTGACCAGGGAAACTGCATTCAGACTGATGCCCCACAGCCACATGACACCAAACATGTTGACCAAGATCATGGCGATGGTGACACACATGATCACTGCAGACCACAGCTCACAGCCCAGGAGAACCACAGTCACCAAAAAGATGGCTCCCAGGGACACGCCGAGGTTAAAGATCGTGTCCTCAATAATGGTCAGGTACTGTTCGTAGAAGACATAGAATACACTACAGAGGAGGGGAGAAGGTTCCGTTACAGCTCGTTCTCACTTCTAGAAGCTCTGCTGTTCATCCTGCCACTGTTGCAAAACTGAGAAAGTACTTGGACAGGCATCCTGTGCAGAAAGCCTCCCTGCTTTATGCAAGACTCACCTACAGTAGTTCTACTGGACCAATGGATGACCAATGGATGACCACTGACACCCAAGGAAGGGCCGAATAATGATCCAAAGTGTGCTTTTGATTTTTACTCATAATCCTGATCTCTGGTACTTTACAGGCATTTACCAAGAATATTCCACAGTACTTTGAAAAAACAAGTCCTGATCTAACGTGAGAATTACCTCAGGCCCCATGGTGTCTGTGCAAGGCTGGAAGAGAATTTTTTGTCTGCAGAGTTAACCAGCTCTTCCTGGGAATTAGGACGCCTGCTCTGAGAACTCCTCCCACAGAAAAGCGGGCTGTCCCCCTGCCAGAGCAGGTCAGGACTCCTTTAAGCTAGATTACAGGGGTGATGGCGAAAAAACCATTTGTTTCTTCTACTTTGTATTTTCAAAATTCAGTATTCCATACATAATTTTTTTTACATTAAAAAAACACCCAATAAGCAAAAAAGAAATATCTCCATAAAGGCACTGTCCCAAATAATCAGTACTCAGGGATACCCATCGGTTACTGCCCAGGAACGTCTACGAGGCCCCTCCATGAAGCTGGTCTAGGCACCCCCACTCCCTGCCTCTGGGTGCTATTTTGCAGTGTGTCTCTTTCAGAGTGTGAGCTCCAGCCCAGAGACCAAGTTTTATTTCTGCAGAACCGAGACCTCAGTGGGTGCTCCAGCTCCCTTTGCCCAGGTGCCATCTTCCTGCACATATGTGGTCGGTGCTCACAATGCAGAAGGTGGCAGAACGAAAGCCGAGCATCGCATCCCACCAAGGGAGCCCCGGTAGGCGCCCTTCCCTAAGACACCCTCGTGTGCAACTCACGCTTACCTGTACGGGAACACACGGTGATTACTTCCTTCCTGGCTCATGGTTTTGGTGATGTTATCAGCAATGAGGCGCGCCTTTCTCATGGCATCAATAAAGTCAGCAGAGTTTTGAAGCACGGTGTGGTAGGTCATGAAGTATGTGGCTCCGACTCCTGTGTCATTGCCAAGGATGTTAACTGCTGACCCGTAAGCAGCATGTCCCCTGAGAGAAGACTCGGTGTCAGAAAGACCACGCTTTGTGAAAGCCTGCAGAATCTGAGCAGTCAAGGTTAAGAGAAATCATCCGACCCTGGGCTCAGGGAAGAGACCCAGCTCTAAGTCGGCGCAGGGAAGGCCCTCTGAAAGGGAATGATGAAGGATCTAGTTACTCTCTCACACAATGGTTTTGCTTTAGTGCTTTGGTTTCATTGGTGCATAGCTGCTGTTGTTTCTGTAACTGGTTCTGCTCACAATTCAATGTTTTCATATAAAGTTTGCTCAGCAATGCTGTGCAACAGGAATTGGAGAGGGGCGAGGCCCTAGAGTGAGACAGCCATGAGATCAGCCTCCACAGTGGCCTCAGCCACGTATATGCCCTGGAGCCCTCAGCAAAGTTACTGCATTTGGGCTGCAGTGTCATCTTCTATAGACAGGTGTACCACCACCTACTCACAGGGCCACGTGACAAGTTAGTGAACTAATATTGCGAGGTGCCTGGCATGATACTGGCACTTAGGAGGCTCCCCCAAAGTGGTGGCTATTGCTTCATAAATGCTGAAGTTACTTGGACTTGTTTTATGTAGGCCAAAGCAATCAGTCTGCAAACAGACCAAGATGTGAGATTCATTTCTATTTTATTTTATTCCCACAGTGCCTAGTATAGGTCTCAAAACACAGACATGATATATGTGACTAATGTATGACAGGACTCAGGTCAAATTATGTATTCTTATGAAAAAACAGGATGTCCAGGGTTTACCTGACGTATATGTGGACACTCATCTTCACCCCACCCTAGTGATTCCTAACCTCTGGGCCAGATATCCTGCTTTTATGGGTAACTGGCTGCCTGGCTGGAAGGACAGGCTGGTAAGAAGCAAGTGGGGCGAAATGATCTACACCTTAATCTAGGATGACATCACCGAAGCAGAGATGCTGTCCCATGCGCTCAGACACAACTCAACAGACTGCTTCACACTCTGAAACGCCACGTGCCCCTCTTCCCCCTCCGCCCACGGACACCAGCCGGGAGGGCGAGCACAGACAGACGCCTAAGAGCCGATGCCCAAGGCAGGACGGAAATCGGCTGGAAAGAATGAGGAGTTTTCCTGGAAGGAGTTTGAGAGGTTTCTTTGCTTTCACAGAAGAATCACGAAAGGGTGAAGACAGGGTAGAAAAGAGGACCTTTCCCACATAACTATTTCTACAACCAGCCTGCCTCCGGTTTTCCAGGGCAAACAGAAGTGGGGGCGTACGTGAAGGGCTCTATGGCACTTACCCTTTGCCACACTTGGGGTTTGGGTTGTCAGAAAGGAACATGGGCAGGAATCTCATGAAGTCTCCACCCTGAGGCCTCTGTTTGCCCTCTGGAGTCAGAGGCCTGCAGCGGACGCAGGCAGGGTCAGCCACTAGCAGAAACACGGGGGAAGGAGCCAAGGAGAAAAGATGGGTCTCTAGATTTTACTTTAAAACATTTGAAAATACTGTTAAAGAAATGAGGTGAGTTCTTTTCCTGAATCTTTTACCCTATCCAAAAGCCTCAAACATGTGTGATTTTCACAGTCTAACATATGTAACATACCACCTTCATCTTAGGCAGGCTATAGTAATATTTTCTTCCCGAAGCAGGTTTCCTGCTTGAAGGACGACCTCAATTAGTATTACCAGAGCCCAGGGCTTTGATGTTTTTATCAAGAAAACTCTAGGACAGCCGGGCCGGCATGGCTCAGTGGTTGAGCATCGACCTATGAACCAGGAAATCGCGGTTCGAGTCCCGGTCAGGGCACATGCCCGGGTTGCGGGCTCGATCCCCAGTGAGGACACTCTCATCACTGATGTTTCTATCGCTCTCCCTCCCTCTCCCCTCTCTCTGAAATCAATAAAAACACATTTAAAAACAAAACAAAAAACAGAAGAAAACTCTAGGACAACCTCAATACTCTTACAAAACCATAGGGCAACAGTGATATACAAAGGACAGCACTCCTATGAGTAGCTACAGCCAGGTACCAATCAAGAGGCAATGGGTGTCGTTGGGAAAAGATGAGAAACCCCAAAACTCTGGAGACCAGAGCTCCCTGACTCAGGCCTCGTTTAGTTCTCAAAGTGAGTGAGGAAAAGGATGGTAAAGGAAATGAGACCCGTTTTGGCACGTCCACAGATACAAATGGAGACGAACTGCAGATGACTCATCCCACTGGAAGGGGGGGTGAAGCACCTGAAGCGTTGCAGAACAGCTCAGAGCTATTGTGGACTCTACAGCAGGAAGACTGCGGCTTAATCCAGTCAAAGTAATCGTCGATCCAGGATGAGGGAGCAAAGCCTATTCGGGTACTAGAGGGGAAAACAAAATTACTGACTTGTCCCGCAGGAGCAAGTATTTAGTTCCAGTCCTTTTTCTTAAAATCTAACTTCCTTTCTAGATTTTATACTGCCACTCACTCAATAGTCAAATTACATTCGTACCTCATGGAAAAACCCTCAAAGTATCGGGTGGTAAATTAGTCCTTTAAAGGTTTTGCTCAGGTAAAGCTTGAGTTATCATACATTCTGAAAAACAAACTTTCCAAGAAAATCTATTTTCAGTGAGCAGTTTCAGGCCTAGCTGTCTCCTGGGAGCCCCTCCTGGCCGTTTCTGCTGTAGTATAGGAGGACTGGGTACTGACTACTTGTCCAGCTCAGCCGCGTTGAATATCTGCTGCACCAGGGAGTCGTTGTTACAGCCCATGCCCCCGCACACCATGTTCTGCCCCTTCAGAGAAGTATAGTTGTGTCCTTCCTCCAGCACGAAGTAGACAGGCGGGCCCGCGTGCAGGTACTGACTAAGGGACTTGAAATAATCCATCACGTAGGAGTCCTGAAAGAAGATCCAACAACAGGACAAGGGGTGAATGTTCTGATGGTTCTAAGTGAGGTGCGGGTGACTAAGAATCAGGAGGCACCGGAAGACCCCTGGCCAGGACGCCACTAGCCCAGATTCAGGACTCCCTACAAAGCCAGTGTCCGTCCTCCCGGGGCACAGGGTGCTCCCCTACCTGGTCCCACTATTAGGAGGGCACCTCACGAGGTAAAGACTGGGAGCTCACATTCCGTGGCCATGCCCCAGAGTGCTGAGAGTTCAGAATGCCAGGCCCACACTGGCAGAGCCCTGTGGCAATTCTTATAACATGGGAAATCCCGTCAGCACTTGCATTCACAAGCAGGCATTAACTTGAAATAGCTATATGCATGTTTTGAAAAATGGATTCACCGTTGGCTAAATAAGTTAAAAAAAGCATCTTACTTCTGGCATTGAAAGAGACTGATCCAATCCAATTTCTACTTTGTTCAGGACAGCGATACTGAATGACAAAACACCCACAAATACTGCTATCTAGAATGAAAATGAGGTATAAGACAGCAATTGCTTAGTTATAATGAACAGAAGAGCATAACTAAAACCTAAGCACACAAAAAACAGGACTCTTCCACACTGAAAAGCAAGCTTAAGTGACACGCCACCTAAACAAGGAGTACGGAGTACTGGCTGAGATTAGAGTATCTAGAGTCAAACTACCTGGGTTCAAATGCTGGCTCCTCCCCTTACAAGCTGAGTGACCCTGGGGAAGCCACTTAACCTCTCTTAGCTTCTATTTCCTCATCAATAAATCGGGAAAAAGACTTATAACATCAGTTTTGTGGATTAAATGAGAAAAATTTAGGAATAATCTAGATTTTAGCACAGTACCTACCCCGTATTTAGCACAATACCTAATATTAAAGGGCTCAACTGCTACATACTGCTCTTATTTTACTATTACTGGAAACTAATTTATGTTCTCTTAGTAGAGAAGTGATAGATGGTCACTGTCAGCTACATCTAGCATATAAACTATAAACAGCTCTGGCCTGGTTGCTGAGGATTAGGGATCGTGGTTGGTGCAGGGGAGGGAGGTGGGTGACACTATGAGGGGACAGCATGAGGGAGACCACTCTGGTGATGGATCTTCCTTGCAGTGGTGGATATGTGTATCTTCACATGGGATAAAATGACAGAGAACTAGACCCACACTTGTGCCAATGTCAAATGCCTAGTTCTGATATCGAACTACAATTATGTAGGACTACAGGAGGAAACTGGGCTAAGGTACTTTGGTCCTCTCTGTACTTTGCATCTTTCTATGAATCTGTAATTATTTCAGAATAAAAACTTAAAAACAAAAACTCTTGTTTATATTGACTGCAAAAAACTAGTTAAAAATCTTTTATATATTTGTACGCCTCTGCTTTTATGTATATACTGCTAACAGCTGTTAGAATCTCCTCCCCAAGTTATGTGATTCTTACAAGGCAGGTGACAAAACTGTGCTGGGGAGATAAACAAGAAAAACCACAGTTAAGTTCATACCACAATCGGTCGCATCCAGTCCTTAAGCAGAAGTGGAGAATAGGAGTTTCTGAAGAAGCGAAACAAGCGGCTCTCTGAGGCCTGGGTGTCTGTTCCATCGTCGGTCCCTCTGACACAGCAAAGGATGTCCAGCCGGTTTTTCTGAGGTGACAAAGACGAACAGAGGTGATGTCCTCTAGTTGCTTCAGCTAGACTCTAGACTCAAATGAACTAGGCTGTAATCCTGATAACAACTTACCTCTTGACGCTTAATGTCTAACCCCAAGAGACTCACAAAACAGGTAATCTGAAGAAGGAAGTCAATGAGGACCGCCATCCCGGCAAAGAGAGAGAAAGTGTGGACCGCGGGCATCACTGACAAGGCTCCTGCAGGGAGAGGAAAGCTGCCATCACTTCCGCTTAGAGCAGAGGGCGCTGGTGACTCTTAAACTCCTGTGTCCCTAAGAAGGGAGCCAGAGCAGGCCAAACCCATGAGAAGACCCCCGCCGCCCCTCCCCGACAAAGGATGCTGCAAAAGTCTGCAGGTCACACAGAAAAGAGTCTGTGAGCCCGGTGCTGTTCAAAATGGTTTCAGCATCAGAATCCCTTGGGGAGTTAAAAATGTAGGTTCCTGGGCGCAGGACCCATCCTACTTAATCAAGACAGTGGGACTTCAACCCCAATTCTTGTGTATTTAATAGGCTCTCTGGGCAAATATATGCACATTAAAATGTGAGAACCATTAATATAGGCCATTTCTTACAGTACCTTCTCTGCATCACTCTAAGACAGGGACAGTATGTTCCGTTACTGTATCAACAATATCAGTTTCCTAGTTTATTTACAATCACATGAGGATGCTCCAAGTCAAAAGCACTGGCTCAGACTCACAAACTGAAAACTGGCAGCTCGTGGGCCAGATATAGCCTGTTTGGCCCACACTTTATAAACCCATTCTAAAATTTAAAATACTTTTAATATAAAATAAGAAGCCAATATTTAACAAGGAGATTTTGATTCACAGTGTTGCTTGAGAAAAAATAATTGGACCTAGCAGCACTGGGCTAGCGGCACAGAACTGTCTTTTGGACAGGACCTGTGCACTCTGGCTGCCGCAGTCCCCACACCTCCTACTGTTCTCCCAAAGTCACTTCACCCTTGAGGTACAGTGTCAGCTGCTATTATCATCACATTTGCACTGGTTTTCTTACAATAGAGGTAAAAAGTGGAAATAACTTTTTTTGCACCTACACCCATTAAAAGGAACTAAAAGGACACAGGTTTCAAAGCACACCGCTTGACAGGAATAAAAAATAATATGCTAATAGCATGTCTGTGCTCCTCCAATGGCCCTGTGATGACCTGGTGGCCCACAGAGGCATTTCTGTTTGGACTGTGTGTCTTCTCTGGACTTGCTGGGCGGTTCTAACCCGGCCTCCTCCTCAGAGGATGTAGTCTGTTTTCTCATCTACACGCCAGAGATGGGGGCAGAGACAGTCCGCTTGTAAGGCCGGGTGACTTCTCCATGTGAAGGAAATACAGAAACTGGCTTTGCTCTAGCTTCTTCTGGTTCCTGTACTGAGGGGAGAGCCAAAACCTCTGCTCATCAGCGAGGCTGCTTCCCCGGTGAGCTGTGTGCACAGAGGAGGAAGCCTGCCCATGAGAACTATGCCCAACACCTTGCAAGCTAAAGCCTGTGGATTTTGGAGCTGCTGCTTAGTGTTGTTTTCAGGAGTCGTCTGTGGCTATGCAAGGGTGCTATTTTCAAATATCAACATTTGCCATGGGAGCCAAAAAGGAGAGTCCTAGGTATCTGTACCCCAAACATCAACGCTATCCTGAAACAATGTGAGAAAGAAAACACCTGCTAAATGACACCCAAGATACTGCCACCAATTCTTCTTGCAGTCCATTCTGACACTTTCCAATTACAGAATAAAGCTTTAAAATGGAAGAACACAAAGGAGCATATTCAGAAACCCAGGCTCCTTCTACTCCCAGGCTCAGCAAACTATAAGACTGTTAGAATTCAAAGAGCAATTACCTAAGAAAAATGCTACCGTCTCTGAAAAGGATGACAGGAACATACTAGGAGCCACTTCTCCAAGGACCCTGCCCAGCTGCTGGTCCAGGGTTTCCCCTTGAAGACGTTCGTCTCTCTTTAAAAAAATAAAATTAAATTAAACATACAACATAAAAATTTCTCAATAACACCACCACCTCTTTGCTTCTCTGTGTTAACAGTAAAGAAAAATGATTAGTGGCATCTATTTATTGTATGTAAACCTTGGTGGGGGACCCGTAACGTCTCATGTTCGTTCATTCAAAGTATTCCTGACCTCCTGAGCTAGGTAACAGGTGCAAGAAGAGGCTGGATCATTTTATGAGGAAAATATATGAATGCAAGCTGCAGGTGGCTGGACCATTAAATGACATGCCACTTACATGCCACTGGGTCTCCATGCAGGTAAGAGCTACAGGACAAGGGAGGGGACCATGTGAGAACAAATGACTGAGACCATTTTCTACATCAGCAGATCCTGTGTTTACCTTTGGTCCTTTTAGTGGCACCTTTGACCAATCTTTCATTCTTCTGCACCATGTGGAAAATCATTTTAATATCAGGCGTACCCGAAGTATTTTACGCACAGCGTGTTAGCCCCTTTTGTACATATGTTGCACATATTTAAAATCAGTTTTTACTTTATTCCACCAACCAAAGAGAGGAGTGAACTTCTTGGTCCCCAAATATCCAGAATAAGTGACAGACACTGGTAAACAACACAGAGGAAAGGAAACAAAGTGTCCCCATTGTCCACACTCGCAAATGCTCTGCATGGAACCAAACAGCCATTCATGGAGCTCGGTCCCTGGTCAGCTGCCAAGCTCAGTGAGATGATGAAAACGTACCTGGTAGGTCTGGACCAGAATGAAGATGTTGTCCACCCCAACAGCCAGCACCAGGAATGGGATGACTTCAATCACAATGAGGGTGAGGGGGATCCCAATGTAGCTGAAGATGCCCAACGAGCAAGCCACCGAGCTCAACACGATGAGAATACCTGCGATGCCGAGGGAGATTTTAGAATCCACCTGAGAGATGCAACAAAGACATGAGCATCCGTTAGAGCATCTTCTCTCCTGTTACTGAAAGGTCCTCACCTCTACTTTGTTGCATGGGTACAGCCAATCTGGAGCTAAAAGCACAATTCCCAGTTTGAGAAAAAAATATGAAAAATTGTCTAAGTCTGCCCAGCCGGGCGTGGCTCAGCGGCTGAGCGTCGACCTGGGATCCAGGCGATGGGGGTTCGATTCCCGGTCAGGGCACATGCCCGGGTTGCGGGCTCGATCAATGACTCTCTCATCATTGATGTTTCTCTCTCTCTCTCTCCCTCCCTCTCCTTTCCTCTCTCTGAAATCAATAAAGATATATTTAAAAAAAAAAAATTGTCTAGGTCTTCCCAAGGAACATATTTTAGGAGCTTCTATTCTTAGGTGATGAGGTAGACAAATTAGAAAAAGCTGGACCATGTGAAATAAATTTTAAGTTGAAGATAAATCAGAAAATTAAAACTGAAGAAAATAGATGCAGGGAATTAAAAATGTTACATACAACTAAAAAAAATGGGAGTTTAAGGCAGTTTTTGAACATAAGAAATTAAGTAGAGGCAAAAATATGACCTATGTATGCTGTACAGTGACTGTCATTTCTAACAACACAGATATACAAACTATCTACACTATGCAGACATGCCCAGTGCCACACTTACCAGAAGCCGGCTACAGCTTTTGATGTGCCCCAAGGCTATGGAAATATAGAGAAACATGACGGCATAGCTGATCACAACAGTGAAGATATCACTGTTACTTTCACGATTCAGTTCGTCTTCGATGCTTCGTTCAGCAATGAAAGAAATGGTGAGATTTGGATTCTTGTAGTTTTTTACTAAATTAATAAACCTAAAGAGTAAGAAGAATTTTACATTTTAGTTAAAACTTAGTGACAGCAAAGTGAGGAACTTCTTCCCAACTTTTTTTAATGTTTTTTTAAATTCATTAATTTTTTAGAGAGGGAGGAAGGGAAAAAAAGAGGGGGATAAGAAGAGGGGGAGAGAGAGAAACGCTGACGTGTTGTGCCACTTATATACGCATTCACTGCTTGATTCCTGCATGTGCCCTGACCAAGGATTGAACCTGCAACCTTGGCGTATGGGGATGATGCTCCAACCAACTGAGCTACCTGGCCAGGGCTTTCCCAACTTCTATGACACAAAAGCCACACTCTCTTAACCTTTATATGAATTTAGATCTTCACTGGAGCCTAGACGGTGAGTCATTTCCAGACATGCTGAGTTTTCTACCATTTAAATAGGTTTAGAACAAGTTTGAAAATTGGTTCATGGTCTCATTCTTTTTTACTAAAAAAGATTTCTAAATGAAGTACTGTACATTATAATAAAGATATGCTCATGAGGCCTGGCTGGTGTGCCTCAGTTTGTTCAGCATCATCCCATAGTCCCCTACACTGAGGGGTCACCTGTTTGGTTCCTGATCAGGGCACATGCCCAGGTTGTGGGCTTGATCCCCAGCAGGGGGTGTGCAGGAGGCGGCTGATCGATGTTTCTCTCTCGCATGGATGTTTCTCTTTCTCTCTCTCCCTCTCCCTCACTCTCTAAAATCAATAAAACATCTTTTTAAAAACAAGATATATGCTCATGAAATAAAAAATGTAAATGTTGATTTACAGATTCAATGCAGACCTTATCAGAATCCCAGCTGATCTTTGTTGAAAGGTAAATTGATTCTAAAATTCATATGGAATTGCAAGGGGCCCAGAATAGCCAAAACCTTCTTTTTCAAGAACAAAGTTTGATTTCAAATTTACTACAAAACAACAGTAATCAAGGCAGCGTGATACCCACACGATGATAAACATTCAGATTAAAGGAAAAGAACTCGGAGTCCAGAAATGAACCATGTATCTATGGCCAGGATTTTTCAACAGGGTGACAAAAGGGGAAAATGATCTTTTCAGCAAATGGCCTGGGACAACTGGATAGCCACATGCAAAAGAGTGATGAACCTTTACCTTACACCATAGACAAAAATGAACTCAAATGGATCAAAGACCTGATATAAGAGCTAAAACTCTTAGAAAAACATAGGTATAAATCTCCACGTCCTTGGATTAGATTTCTTAGTTATGATACAAAAAGTACAAGCAACAAAAGAAAAAATAGATAAATTGGATTTCATCAAAATTAAAAACTTTTGTGTTTCAAAGGATACCATCAAGAAAGCAAAAAAAAGGGAGGGAGGAATACTTGGAAATCATGTATCTGATAAGGGATTGTAGAATATATAATAATCCTTATTCTTCAATAATAAATATACAAATAACCCACCTAAAAAATGAAGAAAGGATACAAATAAACATTTCTCTGAGGAGGTTATACAAATGGCCAATAAGAGCATGAAAAGATGCTAGAAATCATTAGTCATCAGGGAAATGCAAATCAAAACTGCAATAAGGTACCACACCACTTCATATCTTCAATGTCCATGGAGATAACCAGAATTAAAAAGTCAGACAATAACAAATAAAAAGTCAGACAATAACAAGTGTTGACAAGGATATGGAGAATTTGAAATCTTTATACACTGCTGGTGGGAATGTAAAATGGTGTAATCACTTTGGAAAACAGTCCGGTGGTTCCTCAAAGAATTACCAATTGACCCATCAATTCTAATCCTAGGTATATACCCAAGAGAAATAAAAACATACGTTCACACAAAAACTTGTATACAAATGTCTATAGCAGCATTATTCATAATAGTCAAAAGGCAGAAACAACCCAATTGTGCATCAACGAATGGATGAACAAAACGTGGTATATCCATAGGATGGAACATTATTCAGCCATAAAAAGGAATGAAGGACTGACACACACATGCTACAACTTGGATTAACCTTGAAAACATTATGCTAAGTGAAAGATGCCAGATACAAAATTTCACAGATATGATTCCATTCATATAAAAAAAGTCCAGAATAGGAAAACATATGAAGCTAGAAAGTAGATCAGTGGTTGCATATGGCTGGGAGGTGGGAAGATGTGAGGACGGGGGCCGATAGCTAAAGGATATGGGGTTGCTTTCTGGGGTAAAGAAAATATTCTAAAATTGGCTGTGGTGATGGTTGGACATTATCCGTGAATATACAAAAAGCTATTGAACTATATACTTTAAATAAATAAGTGAAATGTATGATACATGGATTATATCTCAATAAAGCTGTTTTTTAAAAAATATATATACTTAAAGTATACTATAAAGTAAAAAGTCACAGCCCCCTGTCCTCCTAAGTGTTCACCCCATTCTCTAGAGGCTGCAAACACAGTTAACAATTTCCTGGATATTTTTCTAGGCATGGACAATATGTATAGCATATACTGACTTAAACATGCTGTGTGTAATTTTTATTTAATACACCTTGAGCCATTTATTACCTATCTGTAATGACTGCAAAGTTTTCTACTGTACTTACCCATTACTAATAATATACATTCAGTTAGCTGCTGGATTTTGCTGTTAGAAAATACTGCAAGAAAAATTTCCACATATATACTTTTGCTTCTTATGTAGGGAGATCTGTTCAAACAATGTTTATAGGCAAATTTACTTACAGATTTTTTTCTTAGCATCACTGTACCAAGTACCAAGTGAAAAGATATAACTCAGATCTGATGTGGGTGAGTTTGGCTAAATGAAGTTTAGGTACTCTCTGCTAGTGTCCAGCTTCTCACAAAACAAGGACAGGTTGTTCAGACCCTGTGAGCAACTCACTCTCTTTCCCAGGCCTGGGCCCTCTGGAGCTTCTCAGTATCATTATAGTAATTATTGACAGGAAAGGTAATCACAAGGGCTGTGGCGTTATTGTAGTTTTGATCTAGGAAAAAAAAAGCGACATCAAAAAGATTATAAGCATACAGACAATTAGATAAATACAAGAGGCAAATTACAAGACAGCTAGTTTCTGATTTCTAACTAGGGCTGTAGACTATCTATCCCTGTGCTCTAAGAACAGAAAAAGAGTTCACTTAAATAGTGTCTATACAGTTCAGTTAATGAATAAAAAGGATTCTCTATCGGAAGTAGGCTCAGGTTATCAGGAAAAGTTTTTTTTTAATTACACAGCACTTGCATGGTAAAAATTTCGGAGCAGAAAGGCGTTCAGCGAAAAGTTTCTCTCCTTTCTCAGTACCGTTGCCATTCTCTTAGCCCTCGCCACCCCGTGACTGCCCGTGACTCTTCCCGGAGACGCTCCACAGACGCATAAGCAAATGCATGTATTCTTCCCTTTTCCTTCCCTTTTATACAAAGAGTGACGTACTGCTCTGCACATTACGCTTTTAAATTTGTCTTGTGACTCATTCCAGTACATAAAGAGCTTCCTCATTCTTTTCTCTGCTGCATAATATTTTCTAGTATAATTTAACCTAGCTCCCATTGATGGATATTTTCACAATTTTTAAAATTAGAAACAATATCACTACAAGGAATAATCTTATATTTTTAATGTGTAAGATACATACTTGTAGAATCAATTCTTATAAGTACAATCACTGTATCAAAAAGTTTGGGCATTTCTAATTTTGATAGATTCTCCCACAATGCCCACCAAAAAGGCTACCCTATTTTTCATTCAACAAAATATTTACTGAGACCACTTTTGTGCCAGGCAGTATTTAAGTGCCATGGATACATCACTGAGCAAAAGTGATAAAAATCCCTGCCTTTTCCTGGAGCTTATATTCTAGTAACCAATTTACAGTTCCATCCACGTAGTAGCTTCCCTATGCTTTCACTCATCCCAGGTTTACTGAACTCTTAGATCTTTGCTAATCTATTAGGTAGAAACACTGAAGTGAAGTGGATTTCACTAATCAGGGGAGAGGTTAAGCATTTTTTCCTATGTAATGAAAAGCTCCTTGTATTTCTTCTTCTGTTAACTTTCAGATGGCTCACCCACTTTTCTTCTGGGTGGTTGACCTTTTCTTTTCTTTACAAGAGCTCTTTATGTATTAAAGAAATGCTGTTATGTGTACTATTTTTTTTCTCCACTTGGTTTCTTTTTTTTTTTTTAACTTTATGAAGTTTGTTCTTCACATAGGAATTTAAAATTCCCATGTAGTCAGATTCATCAGTCTTTCCTTTTGTGGCTTCTGAGTTTTATCTTGCTAGAAATGCCTTCTCCATTTAAAAATTATTTTTAGCCTGGCCGGGCGTGGCTCAGCGGTTGAGCATCAACCCAGGATCCAGGCGATCAGGGTTCGATTCCCGGTCAGGGCACATGGCCAGGTTGCAGGCTCAATCCCCAGTCGGGGGCGTGCAGGAGGCAGCTGATCAATGACTCATTGATGTTTCTATCTCTCTATCCCTCTCCTTTCCTCTCTCTGAAATCAATAAAGATATATTTAAAAATAAATAAATAAATATTATTTTAAAAAATTCCTCCTGTATTTCCTCCTAGTCCTTTAATAGTTTCACTTCTTACATTTCAATCTTTGATCCATCTGGAAATTATTTTGGTGGAAGGAATAAGGCAGAGATCAAACTTAATTTTTATGGCTGCAACTAGCAAGTTGGTGCCACCATCTTTCCCCCACCAATGAGAAATGGCATTTTATTATACGAGGCAGAGTAAAATTTAAATACAGATCACAACTTCTAAAGAAAACATTTATTTGGCCTCCTCATTAGGGTGGAGAAAGACCTGCAGAGATGCCTGTAATTAGGCTTCAGATGCCAAAGCGGCCACGTGAATCAGAGCCCACTGTACCTAGTACAATCTGTCCCATGGTGTTACAGGAACCAGCAAAGAGCAAGCCAACTGCTCCTTCTACCATGAAAGTGTCAGAATTCTTAGCCAATTGGTTTAGAAGAAAAAAAAAAAATCCATCAACTTTCTTTTTCCCCACCTTACACAGTATCTCTTTCCTGATACAGATGTTCTTAACCTGAGGTCCACAGATTCCGTAGGGGATCTACAGACGAACTTCTAGGGTTTCGGGAACTCCCTGAAGCTGCACAATATATTACGTGATGTTCACAATTACATTATTCTGGGGATATGTCTTTAACTTTTCACAGCTTCCTAAAGTGTGACCTAAAAAACGGCTAACACTGTCCACTTTTTTTAAATCCAGAAAACAAACAAACCCACAGGAGATATTATATTTTGGATTTAAGAGATAGGAAATAAGAATGCTCAATTTATAAAACCTTTATGATTACCACTTGACTGTTAATAAGAGAATCAAGACTACTTAATCTCATAGGAAAATCAAAAGGTTCCCTCACTTACCATCATAGCCTCCTAACACAAGCCACGGGAACACTGGTCCACCAAACGTCCCCAGACAAGGATCGTGGAGCAAGCTGGTATCATTCAGAGAGGCAGGAGCCCTGCCAAGAAGTTTAGAAGACAGCTCCCAATTAGAACCAGCCTCAAGACATCAGAGACCTAAACGTTTATACAACTAACAGTTAATCAGGCTATACTATTTTTCACTCATTTATTCAACAAAATATTTACATATTCTAAGCATAACGTGGGTCCTGAGGTTCCTTAGGTGAATCACACAATATAGTTCAGCACTTGCCTTTGGAAGCTCGGAGTCACCGAGTGAGAGGCAGGCAAATATAGCACGATGTAACTCCCATCACTCGGTGCCTGGCACACAGAGGGAACAGCTAATATAGGGGAAAACTGTCACCTAAAAGAGGAGACATGTACAGAACCAGGACTCTCAGGCCAAGGGAGAATTCACCTGGGAGGGAGAAGTGAGGGTGCTCCATGCAGCTGCAACT